GAGACTTGCCAGATGAGAACATTTCAAAGATAAAAGAGAGATGAAGAATGAGCCACTAGATGACCCTCCAGGGGGTGTTCTGTGAGAGGCCTGAATGCTGAGTGGAGGGTGATGTGAGGGGCAGGACTCGGGGGTGGGAAAGCGGGCTGGGCCTCGGGGGAGGAACCTCTGTGCTCCGTGTGGCCACGAGAGTGACAAGTTAGGCGTCACCTGGGCAAAGAGGCACGGTTCAGAATCAGCACCCTGGGCTCCTGTGTCCTATGTAACGGTCCTTGAATGTGAAAATATTCAGAAGTACTGAAGCTGTGGGGAAAGACACAAAAAGGCTTTTTACCAGAGGGAGAAAAAAAAAAACCTTTCTGATTGCCTGCTCTGACTCTCAAATGTTCAGGGAAAGCCCAGAAAAGACCTCAGGGAAAAAATTATTTTCCCTTTTTTTTCTGGTCACTTTATTCCCTCTCATCACAGGCAATCAGGAAGTTGAGGAACCCTCTGGAAAGGGCTGGGTTATGGTTCTCCTTAATGGTAGGATGGGATGCTTTTCTCCCACGGGACTGCTATCGCACTGCCACCCAACCCTGCTCTGCTGCACCCTCATGTGCACGCGCAGAAGCTCTAACATTCAGATTCCTGGCCCCGGACCCCCATCCGAGCCCTTAACGAGGTCTGTGCTGGGGTCCAGGAATCCACAGTTAACACCAGCTCCTCAGATGATTTGCTCCCAAGAGTCTCCTGTGGAAAAACACCCAGACCTGGCAGAAGGTGGGAGGTTCCCAAACAGGGGTTGTAGAGAAGCTGTCTGGGGCTGTGGGGAGGGGAGGCATGGGGACGCCACTCCTGACACTCAGGGGCTGCGGGCTTTGTGGCCCCATGATGACCAAGCTGTGCTGGGTGGCCGGGCCGGGTGACGTCAGGTCAGGGGAAGCAGCTGCAGGAGCCGTGGACTCTGGTCTGGGGAAGACAGAGGAAGGCTGCCAGTCTAGGTTATCTAAAGGCCACCGGGGGCGGGGAGGAGACTGGTCGTAAATGTCCCCAGTCCTAACGCACGTGCATGCCAACAACATGCCAACAAAACAGACGGGAGGCGGAGTAATTGCATGCTTGTACAGAATTCACACGATTACACCTAGAGCATTCACAACGTACTATCTCTGGGAAAAAAAGTCTTCACAAACTTTTCAAACCCCTAACGACACAGGTTCGTAAACAGTATGCACTCCTTCTACCTTAGAAATCAGACAGCTTTGGAAGTAGTCTCCCCTCCCACAAGGTCAGTGGAAGCTATTTTACAATTTTTCCACTTTTCAAGCCCAACCCGACCCCACAGACTGCCTGACCAGACTCTCCCCCCAGATCCACAGTCGGAGGGGAGGCCTGGTTCCCAGCTCTGCATGACAAAGGGCAGCTGCCCTTCCTCCCTGCAACTAATAGGTCCCTTGAAAAACGTCTCCCAATCCACATTCACCACTAGCTAATTGCTCAATTATTTTATTTCCCCAACAAAACTCTTCAGTCCGCCTGGAATCCACATTGCAGGACTAGGAGGCTGTGTCCAGAAAGCCTCAGGAGTCTGGGGGACTTGCCCTCTGTCTGTCTGCCTCCCCTGCCTCCCCTGCCCAGCCCAGACTCGACCCTGGCTTGACTGAGTCCCCAGCTTGCCTGGGGCTTATGGATGCTCCCAGCCAGCTTCAGGGTGTCCTGCAGGACCACGTGCTGGAAATAGTTTGAAGGTGTGGAAAGATTTGGGGCTGGGAATTGGAACACCTGGCTTTATGCAGGCATCCATCATTACCTGTGTGAGCTTGGAGATGCTGTCACCTCTCTGGGCCTCAGTTTTCTTAGCTCTAAAAACCAGGGGGCAAGAGAATGGGTGGGGTAGTCCACTTCAGCCTTAAGCCCTCTGATTCTAAAAGTAGCCAGGAAAAGGCCGGGGATGGGGCACCTTGCTGGACAAATCCTCTGAGGGTGACAGATGCTCCCAGGCTCTCGTGCCTTAAGGGAGATTGGGAAGGATTCTCAGTTTCCAAACCGTGGACCATCTACCCAGGCACCAGTGGCCCTAGGAGCTCCCTGAGCACCGGACCCCAGAAGCCCATCCACGAAGGCAGGACTGGTCCTGGTCAGTTCCAGTTCCCATGAAGGACTCAGTCTAGAGTCGGCTCCGTGCTGGGAGGCCAGCCCAGGAGCCCAGTGAGACACCTGGGAAAGGCAGAGAATCCGGCAGAGGAGGGTGCTTCCACTTTACTTTCTTATCTGAAAAACTAAGTTTCAGTTTAACTGGTCAGTTACCCCAGGTGCAGAAGCGGCTTCTGACCAGGGGGACTCCCAGAGGTCCTCAGCCCTGAGGCATCTCCTCGGCGCACTGGCTCTCAGGGAGCTGCAGCACAGGGGCCCCGCAAGGCCTCATCATGAGCTTCCAGCCCCGGGGAGCTCCGGGGGGTCTAGATGTTGGGGGCCTGGAGAGGGGGCCTCGGCTTGCAAGGGCAGCCTGGGTGTTATATCCTTGGCACCACCCTGGCCAGTGATAAGCCACATCTCTTCCTCTCACCCAGCAGCAAGGGTGGTGGACTACTGCATATTTATGGAACAACTTCCAGGGACTGAGGGCCACAAGTCCTGGGTCTCCTGTAAATGTGACACTTCTGCACCTTTTGGCCTGACTTAAGGCCCAAATGTTTGCATCAAGTAAGTCCTTTCCTTGCTAATCACTTGCAAAGAAAGGCAACAGCTCTCCTTTTGAAGAAGGCTACACTTTTCACAGGGAGAGCAGGAGGGCCCCCTCAGGCCGGACCCAGAGGTGGCGCCTTATATTTCAGGGGGTGTCAGAACAACGTGATATATGAACTCCAAGATGGGATTTGAATTCTGCCTTGTGAATTACACAAATGCTGAGGAAACAGAGGTGCAAGAGAAGGAAAGGGGAGCAGAGAAGCAGTAAAGGTCATGATTGTGTTGCCCCCTGAGAGGCTCCCAGCCCTCCCCCATCCATTACCCTTCCCACCCCGTTCAACTATCAGGATCTCTGTATTTCCTCTTACCTTGTCCTGTGAGCATGTTTGACAGAATCCTTGTTTCCTTCCCTTCAAATAACCCGCGCTCTGCCACTTACTAGCTGTATGACCTTGGGCAAGTCAGGTACCCAGTTTTATGCCTCAGTTTCTTCATCTATAAAATGGGAACAATCATGGCAAATTGTGAGGATAAAGAGTTAATGTATATAAAGCACTCAGAACAGTGTGCAGCCCATAAACAATATTAGCCATTATGATTATTATCAGCGTTATTATTTCTCCCCTTCCTCGAATTCAAAGCCCCCCCCCACCTTACTACTAAAACCCAAGCAAATGCACACGTGCAGGTATATGCATATGTCTATCTATCTATCTATATATATGTATGCACATAGGCGTATGGTGCAATTTGTGCTCTCATCCATGGGGAATTCCGCCCTCGAGCACCAGAAGGTCCTCTCTTCCTCTGCCTGGGACATGTGAGGAGAACAGAGGCAGGGGGTTGGCATGAGAGACCTGTCAGTGACACAGCATACCCACAGAGGAGGCCAGAGTGCCCCCTGCTGGGAAAGGGCTCAGGGGTGCTCCCTGCGCACTGGGCCCCTCGGCCCCCAACCACCGTCCTCTTCCACCGTCATTGCTCACCTCCCACGTGACAGGACAGGGGGAGGGGAGGCTGTCTCCTTTCGGGAAAGGCTTCCTCCTGTGCATACTCAAATCCCCTGTGCCAGGAGGGGCGTCGGGGACTTGCTGAGCGAGCGCAGGCAGGTTCCTTCGCCGTGCAGTGTTCTGACTTCTCATCTGGAAGATCTGCAGATGCTGACACCTGCCTCCTAGGGCTGTTATGAATACACGTCCAGGACCCAGAACACTGCCTGGCACAGAGCGACACTCAGGAAATGACTGCTCTTCTTGTCATCGTCATTTTTAGAAAGGTGCCCCCAAGACTGCAAGAGCAGGCAGATGAAACCAGAGCAAACCCTCTAGGGTGCTCACTACACCAGGCGCTGCACCCAGCGTCTTATGCGTGTAATCCACTCAATCTTCACACTGGCCCGTGAAGTAGACCTGTCATTGCCCCCTCCTTCAGAGGAGAAACTGAGACGCTGAGAATTTAGGGGACTTGTTAGCAGGCCAAATAGCCAGCGAGCAGCAGGCCCCCTGCCTGAGCCCAGCCAGCCGCAGATGTGTGTTTGAGGAGGCACTGGGGGCTCCCACCCACGTGACTCTGGGCAGCTCCGTTGTTCTGAATCCGGGCAGACTGGGCTCAGACTGCGCTGCTGCTGTGAGCCCGCGGCCGGCTCACCGTGCAGAGGGCTGGCTCTCCAGGAGGATGCTGCACCTGAGGGCTCCCTCACTGCAGTCCTGTGGTTGCAAAGACATGTGCAGAAATCGCTTCTCCTGGGACTGGCAGAGAGCCGAGCTGCCAGCTTCCCTGTCCTGATAGCGTCTAGCTTCCTTCTGTCACAGGGAGGACAGGGTCACCTGAGGGACTGTGGAGATGAGCGGGAGGGGGCTTGCAGGGACTGGAGAATGGAGGGAGGCGACTCAAGGGGCTTCTGTGAAAGTGCCCTGAATGGGGCCTGGACCAGAACAGGCAGGAGTGCAGAACACTTTCCCTCCTTCCTCTCAGTGAGCAAACCTAGACCCAGACGGGCCTGCAGGAAAGAGATTTAAGCAGCCGGCTAATGGGACACTCGTTTCCACAGAATAGGCTCACTTTTTCATAGACTAGGACTGAGGTGGGGTCAGGCAAATTCAATAGGCACTAAAATTATTATTGAGCTGCCGGACAGCAGCGGTCAGAGGCCCCAGGCCCGTGTGGCATCCAGACAGCCCTTTGTGCCCTTTCTAGACAGCCCCCTCCTCGGGGCTCAGGGACCTGTCTGGCCGCTGAACTCCCAGGAGGTCCGAGGGGTGTGACCTCCCTCCCTCCCGGGCTCCCTCCCTCCCACCACCCAGGCCCAGCCCAGGCCTGGCTATAAAGCTGGCCCAGCCTGGCCCTCAGCACACCCAGCTGGGACCCTCCCGGAGCCTCGTCCGGGGACACGTCCGCTCTGCCCCTGCGTCTCCCGAGCAGCACCATGCGGCCCCTCTGGCTCTGCTGGGCGCTCTGGGCGCTGCCCCTGGCCGGCCCCGGGGCGGCCCTGACCGAGGAGAGGGTCCTGGGCAGCCTGCTGCGGCAGCTGCGCCTCAGCGAGGCTCCCGTCCTGGACGGGGCCGATGTGGAGAGGCTGATCATCCCTGCCCACGTGAGGGCCCAGTACGTGGCTCTGCTGCAGCGCAGCCACGGGGCCCGCTCCCGGGGGAAGAGGTTCAGCCAGAACTTCCGAGGTGAGGCCCTCCCTCCCTGCTGCAGCCTGGTCCTCGCGGGGTGGGGGTGGGGGGCTGCTCTGGGGAGGCGGTCTGGGGGCGCAGGGTCCACAGGGTGATGAGGAGGGACCATGGACTGTGAGGAAGGCTGGGCCCGGGCCCCTGGTCCCTGTCTGCACTGAGGCCCCCCCCCGCTCGGGGCCAGGAGGAGCTGGGCCAAAGCTAAGGCATCAGAGAAGATGAGGATGGAGAAGAGAAAGCAGAGCCAATGGGAGCGTGTGGGTGTGGCGAAAACCCTGGCACAGTCTCAGGGAGAGGCGTAGAGTCAGGGCTTCCGGGGTACCGTTTTCACATTGCCACCAGTAGCCTGACCTTGAGCAAATGGTTTTTCTTGTTCGTTTGTTTGTTTGTTTGTTTTTGCGGTATGCGGGCCTCTCACTGTTGTGGCCTCTCCCGTTGCGGAGCACAGGCTCCGGACGCAGGCTCAGCGGCCATGGCTCACGGGCCCAGCCGCTCCGCGGCATATGGGATCCTCCCAGACCGGGGCACGAACCCGTGTCCCCCGCATCGGCAGGCGGACTCTCAACCACTGCGCCACCAGGGAAGCCCGAGCAAATGGTTTTACAATCATCTTTTTGCTTCTCTGTTTGTTCCTCCGGAGCACTGGTGTGACTGTAGCTGACCCATCTCCCAGCGCTGTGAATATTAAAGTGCGTTATTGTGGATGAAAAGGTGTCGGGACAACACTGTAGCGTAACGCCGAGCTATTCAGCTGTCAGGGATGCAGCCATCCTGAGTCCTATTCAGCCTCTTACCTCCCTGGGCCTGGACTCACCTCCTCAGTGCCCAGAGCTAGACCCAAGGCCAGGTGCCCCCAGGGGAGGATTCTGATCTTGCAGCATCTCAGCTGAGGTAGCCCTGTCAGCCCTGCCAGCCTTCCTGCTGGGCGGAGATTGTTACAAACAAGGCCCAGACACATAGGGGGATTTTCAGGTAACTGAGCTTGGCACAGGGAGACAGAACAGGGGCTGGTCTCTCCCTGCCTGGCCACCGCCTCAGTGGCCCTGCCACCCTCAGAGCTCCCCTGGTGCCCGGAGGGGCCCCGCTGACCCCGCTCGTGTCCCCAGAGGTGGCCGGCAGGTTCCTGGTGTCCGAGGTCTCCTCGCACCTGCTGGTGTTCGACATGGAGCAGCGGCTGCCGCCCCACAGCGAGCTGGTGCAGGCCGTGCTGCGCCTCTTCCAGGAGCCGGTTCCCAAGGCCGCGCTCCGCAGCCATGAGCGGCTCTTCCCGCGCAGCGACCGCGCCCGAGTCACCGTCCAGTGGCTGCACGTCCGCGACGACGGTTCCAACCGCACCTCCCTCATCGACTCCAGGTGGGGAGGTGGCAGCTGGGGTGTGGGGCGGGGGATGAGGAGGGGGACTGGGCCCGGCGCGGGAGGAAGGGTGCCCTGGGGGAGGAGGGGCGGCGCGGGGGGCCCCTGGGGGGGAGCGGAGGGGGAGGAGAAGGGTGGGAGAGGGCCCCCCCCCGGGGCCACCCCAGACGTCCCAGTCCCCACCCCTCAGCGCGGGCCCGTGTCTCCGTGTGGTGTCGCAGGCTGGTGTCCATCCACGAGAGCGGCTGGAAGGCCTTGGACGTGACGGATGCCGTGAACTTCTGGCAGCAGCTGCGCCGGCCCCGGCAGTCGCTGCTGCTGCAGGTGTCGGTGCAGCGGGAGCACCTGGGCCCGCTGGCCTCCAGCGCCCACACGCTGGTCCGCTTCTCCTCGCAGGGGCCGTCGGGCGCCGGGCAGCGGGAGCCCCAGCTGGAGCTGCACACCCTGGACCTCAGGGATTACGGGTAGGTGCAGGGCCAGGACTCTAGTAGACTGGGTGGTCCAGGCCCACTGTGGCGGGGACAAGCCGGGGGGCAGATGCAGATAGCCCCAGGATGCAACTGATTCCCCACTACATGTTAAGAGTTTCTAATGGTAGGAATTTTTATTATTCAAATATTTTATTGAAAATATCTTCAGGGAATTCCCTGGAAGCCCAGTGGTTAGAACTCCTCGCTTTCACTGTGGGCGGGGGGTGAGGGGGGTGCAGGTTTAGTCCCTGGTCGGGGAGCTAAGATCCCATAAGCCAACCAACTGGCAAAAAGAAAACAAACAAAACCAAAAACTGAAAACCAAAAACCAAAAAACTTCAGGTATTTTCAACAAGCTTTATGTTGTCATTGATATGTATACATTATTGTAATCATCTGTCTTCACTCCACCCTCTTCCCTGATTAATTCTTTGAAAAATATTAGCATTAGCGGTTACTAGGTTTAAACAGCTTTCCTCTGGCATTGGTGAATTCTTTCTTCTTGGGACAAGTTAGCTATTTGGAGTGGATGGAGCTGTGTAGTAGGGTGATTAATAACAGGGCTTTGGAATCGTACAGCCTGGGTCCATGTAGCTTTGCCTTCTACTGCTGCAGGAACTCTGGCATGTCAGTTAACACCTTTGGGTCTCTATGTCCTCATGTGTAATGGGAATGATACTGGAACCTCTTCAAGGTTCATCTGACGATGAAATGCAAGTATCATCTGAGATAATATATGTAAAGCACTTAGTTCAGTGCCTAGCATAATAGGAAACCTTTAGTGAACAGTAACTGATTTATAATTTATGTTTTGGATGTGTTTATTCATTCACCACTTATCACAAATAGCCAGCATTTTGAACATAACAAGAGATGGACCATAAATCTCCCTCCAGATGCCCCACGAAGCCCCGCCCTGGGCTCCCTGACCTCTGCCCTCCCAGCTGACCTCTGCCCTCCCAGCTGACCTCTGCCCTCCCAGCTGACCTCTGACTCTGCCTCTCCTTGCCCCCCACAGAGCTCAGGGAAACTGTGATCCTAAGGCACCAGCGACCGAGGGCACCCGCTGCTGCCGCCGGGAGGTGTACATTGACCTGCAGGGGATGAAGTGGGCTGAGAACTGGGTCCTGGAGCCCCCAGGCTTCCTGGCCTATGAGTGTGTGGGCACCTGCCAGCAGCCCCCAGAGCCCCTGACCTTCAAGTGGCCATTTCTGGGGCCGAGACAGTGCATCGCCTCAGAGACGACCTCGCTGCCCATGATTGTCAGCATCCCGGAGGGAGGCAAGCCCAGGCCCCAGGTGGTCAGCTTGCCCAACATGAGGGTGCAGAAGTGCAGCTGTGCCTCGGATGGGGCGCCTGTACCAAGGAAGCTGGAGCCGTAGGTGTGGGGTGCAGCCATGGAGGCTCTGACTAGACACGTGCACAAAGCAGGTCTTAACATAGGTCTTAATTTTCTACTTAGCAAGTTACCCCTGCCCCAGCTGAGTGCCCCTATTTTACCTGTCTCGTGTGTTCTTCCATTTCTTGCTCTCCTGTCCGTCACCCACCCTAAGCACTTACATGAGTAATTAATGCAACCCGATTGCAGAGCTGTAGAGGGAAATCCCAGTCTACTTGTTAAAGGATATAGCTGAGCAGGGACAGATTGTCAGCTAGGAGCTTCTGTTCTCTAGCAGATTCTCAACCGAGTATGGGACAACAGACCCCACAATGAGAAGTGGGAAAACAGACTGATTTACTCTATTATACGATGAATTAAAACAAAACAAAAAATCCCTCTGTTTCCCCTAGGTAGGGAGGAGGTCTAAAAAGAAGCCCCATTCACCAAAATGTTGATCCGCTCTGGGCTTTTGTACATATACTTGGGTCCCCAGTCCCCTGAGAGGGTGCTAGAAGGGAGGATGAAGGGCTTTAGGCTAGGGACAGTGGACAGGGTATCAGGACACCTGGTTTCTGGATCTAATAGGGCCATAAACTGTGACCTCAAACAAATGCAGACGCCTTTGGGCCACCATTTCCTTTTAAAAAGGAGGATTTGGGATTCAGCTCTAGGACTTCATTGCCCTGGGGATCAGACAGCTCTAAACTCACCCACTCCTCTGCTCCTCCAGAGACAGAGCATTGCCTGTGCATATGTAGGTTATTTCCCCCACTATTTTAGAGAACTTATCACCAGAACCCACATGTATTTACGTGTTTGTTTCTTTTAACTTAGCAAAAAGAAAACAATCGAATGTAGATAATCTGCTGAAATAAAAGTGATGTTTCACTCTGTGTCTCTGTATTTAATTTGTAGTGTCCTTGACGTAGGAGAGAGGGAGCAATAATGGGGAATGAGAGCGACATAAGGATCTGAAGAATGGGCGTGACCAAGGTCCCCCAACCCCTAGGTGGCGCTGAAGACTGTAATAATGGTTTAGATTCTGCTTTTATTTGTAATATTTATATCCCTCCAACTCTCATTCCAAAAATAGTATTGTAAACAATTATTGTATTAGTGGTTCTGGGGACAGGGAAGGCAAGCGAATGTTTACTGAGCATTCACTCTGAACCTGGGACCTATGCTAGGCAACCTCATATACCTTATACGACTTAATTCTTGCAACTACTCCTTGAGGTAGGTATTCTTATTCCCATTTTTCAGATTAAGAAATCAAGGCTGAGGCAATGCAAATCTATGGGGTAGAGATCAGCATGCCCCATGCTCTGCTGATGACACAGGCATTAGTTAACATGTCATTTGGAAGCTGCCACATCTGGCAACTCCCCTACATTTACCTTTCCCGCTCAACGGGGTTTCCTCATGCCTGACTTATTGAAGTTCATGGATTTTCTATTTTGGTGTACAAAGCTAATTAATAGCAACTGAATAACAAAGGGGAAAAGGAGCTAGTCTGTGGACAGCCAGGACTTGAGGACTTGGCAAGAATATTGTTGGAGATGGGGAGAGAAGATTTGTCTCTGACTTGTAAATGGCTATCTTACCTCTATAAGACGTCAAAATGAAGAACTGCCACTTGGTATGTTGTGAGTACCAGGGCATACAGTCACTTTCTCTACAAGAAGGTTATCAAAATCATCTAAAAATTTCTACCAGCTTCTCAGTGACGTATCTGTGGCTCTAAAACGTCTGTGGACTCCCAACCAGTCACATGCAATCAGTGGCAAGGATGGGCCTGCTCACATCATCCCATGTGAGCTAAAAATACCTAGGAAATCGGCTTCATTTCAAAAAGTAAGGATGTGCTCATCAGCACAGGGAGACAATGTGGTAGACAAAATGTTCTCCCCAAATACGTCCATGCCCCTCAATCCTTAGAAACTGTATGTTCTGTTACATGGCAAAGGGACTTCGCAAATGTAATTAAGTTTACAGACCTTAAAATAGGGAGATTGGGGCTTCCCTGGTGGCGCAGTGGTTGAGAGTCCGCCTGCCGATGCAGGGGACACGGGTTCGTGCCCCAGTCTGGGAAGATCCCACATGCCGCAGAGCGGCTGGGCCCGTGAGCCATGGCCGCTGAGCCTGCGCGTCCGGAGCCTGTGCTCCGCAACGGGAGAGGCCACAGCAGTGAGAGGCCCACGTAGCACAAGAAAAAATAATAATTAAAAAAAAATAATAGGGAGATTGGTTTGGATTATGCAGGTGCACCCGATCTAATCACATGAAAGCAGAGAACTCTCTCCAGCTGGAGGCAGGAGAGATGAGGCAGAAGGGGAGGTCAAAGAGATTCAAAGCTTGAGAAGGACTCAATCTGCCATGCTGGTTTGAAGATGAAAAGGACCATGAGCCAGGGAACGTAACTTCTAGAAGATGAGAATGACTCCCAGCTGACAGCCAGCAAGGAAAAGGGACCTCAGTCCTACAGCCACATGGAACCGAATTCTTCCAACAACCTGAATGAGTCTGGACGCCGATTTCCCCCCAGAACCTCCAGATAAAAACCCAGATCAGTTGACACCTTGATTCGGCGCACAGAAGCCAGTTGGGCCCACTCAGATTTCTGACCCACAGAATGTGAGATAACTAATCCGTTTTGTTTTAAGCTGCTAACTTTGTGGTGAATTCTTACGGCAGCAGCAGAAAACTAATACAGACAGTGAACCAAATCCCATTAGAAGTGAGCTGTAATTACAATTTTTTTCCACTGAATAAAGTAACAACATTACAGCTAATTTTGAATGAATTGAAAACTACCCATAATCCCACCATCCTAAAACAAAATAGTTTCGGTTTTTGAATCTCCTGTTCATACACAACCTGACCTGTTTACATACAACAGGAGTATGTACCTGTTTTAAAAAATCAAGGTTAAGGGAATTCCCTGGCAGTCCAGTGGTTAGGACTCAGCGCTCTCACTGCCAAGGGCTCCAGGTTTGATCCCTGGTCGGGGAAATAGCCTGATCCCGCAAGCCGCATGGCATAGCCAAAAAAAAAAAAAAAGAAAAGAAAAAAAAAATCAAGGTTAAGGTGTGCCTTACCGCATATGAAAAAGAGGTGTACAGTCATATTCCAAAAGAGTCACATTGATTCTCTTTAGGTGGTGGGATTAAAGGCAGTGTTCATTTTTCCATTTGATCTAATTTCTAATTGTTCTACAGTAAACATGGATTATTGGTATAAGAACAACAACAACAAGGCAAATATGCATGCAAAGTGTGACTCCCTGGAGATTCCTATATCGGGAAGGAGTCAAGGGGACCTGCCATTTGACTGGCTGGGAGTAGCTCAGGATTCGCCCTCATTCCCTGAATCATCTCCATTCTTAGGAAGATGAGCCTGCTATCCAGAGACAGACCAGGAAGGATGTCCTGAAGCCTTGAGAGTGAAGACCCTGGACAAGTGAAAGCAGAAATGAAGCACTGTCCACTTTGTTGGGACAGCTGGAGGTGAAGAGGGGGCAGGACGGTGGGGTTGGGGGTGAGAAGGGAGGAAGGGCAGGAACAGCCCAACCCATCTGACTGGTGGATGCGAGGATCAGAGGAGAGGAGTGAGGTGGGCAGTCCTGGAAGCTTAGTGAACTCCCCGTTTTCTCTCTGGACTTCTCTGTCTGTTCAGATGGAGTAAAGTGATAGAGTAGGCACCCAAGAAGGCAGGTGGCAGAGAAGGAGAGTATATGTCCATGGCAGAATGGCAGCACCAGGCTTCCTGAGGGTATGTCCTAAGTGGCCGGGTGGGGAGGACGGGTCTTTTCTCATCTCATCTCATCTCATCCATCCAACACTTGTACCCAAAGGAACTTCACAGGCATCAAATGTAATGGCCATGGGAGCCACAGCAGGGGCCGCTGTGCAGACGAAATGAGCCTTTAGAATCAGCAAGGTCATTACAAGAAAATGAAATGGGACTGCCTACAATTAAAATGTATATTTAAAACTTTGTACGCATAAACTTTAAACTTTGGGAAAAAAAAAGATCACAAAGTACCACTAAAAATAGCCAGTTTTGGGCTTCCCTGGTGGCGCAGTGGTTGGGGGTCCGCCTGCCCATGCAGGGGACATGGGTTCATGCCCCGGTCCGGGAGGATCCCACATGCTGCGGAGCGGCTGGGCCCGTGAGCCATGGCTGCTGAGTCTGCGCGTCCGGAGCCTGTGCTCTGCAACGGGAGAGGCCACAACAGTGAGAGGCCCGCGTACCGCAAAAAAAAAAAAAAAAAAAAAGCCAGTTTCTGGTCAGGAGTTCACATGTTCAAGCTTAGTCAGGAGGACCAAGTGCTCTGGCTGCTTCCTGTCTTACGTGGCCTGCCCTGGCTGGGAATCAAGCCAGCACTGGGGGCCACCAACTCGGCCTCCTTTCCCAGGCTCTCCAGTCCTCCTCATATTTCACCTCCACTCCTGGAAGCTGAGGCAGGAGTTACCAAGGCAATCAGGTAAGGGATGGATTTGTGTAAGGGGACTGACAGGTGTGAGATACTGGTGTCTCCTACACCTCACCCCACTCCAACACACACACATTCACACGCACACACACACTCGGCGCACAACCTTTTGTACTGCAGGCCAGAACCAGACGGCCAGGGGGCCCTGCAGCCTCCCAGTGGACCATGGGGAACCCGAGCATCCCTCAGAAGCACAGGCACCGTTAGGAAGTTCTGGTTCCAGTCCCCAAGGTCCTCGTGATGTAGGTGTTCCTTCTGGTTAGTGAGCTCCTCGGCACCTTTCCTAAGGGCTGTGTCATAAGTCCCCCTCTTCCTTCAGCTAGTGTGAGCTGTAGGGTTTCTGGTGTCAGAGCCCACGCTGGTGACAACTAGGCGGGGCTGCAACATGGCCACTACGGGAAGCATTTAAGGCTTCTACACACAGAACCACGAGATCTCACTTTCAGGGATCCAAGCTAAGGAAATAGTCAAAGAGTTAGGCAAAGACTTTCTCACAGTAGTATGAACAATAATTTTAAAAATTGATATAGGTTTTATGAAGATAAGGACTTTTGTCTGTTTTGTTCGTGGCTGGATCCCCAGAAACTGGCTCAATAAATATATATTGAATGAATTAATAAACCTAATGCTGATCTTTGAGAGCATGGCTAAATTAGTACAGTGCATCCATTTAATGGAAGGCTAAGTAGTCACTAAAATCTTGTTTTAAATAACTTTTCAGTGACATTGGAAAATATTGTATATCTAGTATAGAAATTTCAAAACTACATGTATATCA